GAGAGAGAGAGAGAGAGAAAGAGTGAGAGAGAGAGAGAGGAGAGATTGGGGGTGGGGGAGGGATAACGATGATGGTTGGTTTGTGATATTGATTCAGATCAGAACGATGATGATGATCATCTTCTTTTCTCCATCCCTTCTAATAAAAAATGTCTACAATATTATCAGTTTTGATTCATAATGAAAGGCCCCGAAAATCGAAAACTCGCTTCTTCCCTCAATCCCCAAAGACTTTAATTCCCCTTTAGTTTGGCAGGTTCTTGGAGGGTGCGCTCGTAGATCTTACTTCTTTTGTTTTCCGGTTTTGTTTCCGTCTGTCTTACTTTTTATTCTGGGTAGTAGGCAGGTATTGTGGTGTGGTTTGCTTCTTCTTTTCTATCATCTCCTCCTCTTTATATTGTATGTTACGCAGTGGTAACACTTCTTATCTTCAACACTTAAATGACCTATTAAAACATTCTATCATCCTTATATCTCTTACTTCTTCTCTTCGTATGATGCTCTATAGTAGAACCTCCAATCTTCGGCAATTACAAGGTCTACGACCAATTTGTGTTGCAAGTGCCGTAAAACTCTTTCTAACTCTAAGACTAAAAATTTCCCGTCCAATGCGTCTTCTCATTTTACTCTGTAGTAACACCTCTAATTTTCGGCACTTATACGAACTTATTCTAGAACATTCTTTATACGACTTCTTTGTGTTGTCTAAGTCAGAAAAGTCATAATAACTTTAACTAGGACACTGTATTCTAATTCTATTGTTTCTCTCAGCACCTCGATAAGACCCATTGTCATTGCCATTATCACCGGCGCCATCATCATCAGTATCGGGCTGGCCATTGGGCTTGGAGTTGGTCTCAAAGACAGCGATGATGACGTCATCGGACCGGTTGCCAACTGGGAGAAGTACAAGTCATCGACTGGCACATATCAATACGCTGCCGTGGTCGCGGACTCAGAAGTCTGCTCCGAGGTTGGCAAGTAAGTAACTGATCTTAAAACCAAATTTTCAATAGTGCCTAATGTTAGTGATTTTATAGAATACTGTTTTATTCTTATGAATAACGCTAAAGTGTGATAATTGTTCTCATGTGTGCATACTGTTTTGAGCGTTTTTATATGGGATTGTTTGTGTGCTTATGTGTAAGTATGTGTGTGTGTGTGTGTGTGTGTGTGTGTGTGTGTGTGTGTGTGTGTGTGTAAAAGAGAGGCAGATACTCACTTGCAAATAGCAACAGATGTAGCAAGCTAATTTCCTGGTTTATCAGAAATTTGTTGGGTTTATTTTTTTATGTTGTTGAGTTCCCTGTGGTCAAGACTGATTAACAATACATTGATTTGTCTGTATGATAGGCACAATAATTAGGTTATCTAATTTGAAATATTTCAAATCAGTGTGACCATTCTGTGACTTCTAACAATATGATTTATACGATATTATATAACAAGACTGCATGACTACTCTGACAAAGAGAGGAGAAGACACTAATCGACGTGTTTAAAATAAAAATAAAGATAAATGAACACTCATAAAACTGTACCCACCATTCTCAACACCGTCCGCTCTTACCTTCATTGAAACACTCCTCAACACAATCCCATCCACTTCCACTCCTAACTCCACCCCAACCTCAACCCACTCCCACCCACCACCACCCCTACACCTACACCCATATACCAACCCATACCCACGCCCCCCCCCTCCCCGAACCCTCCACTCTTTCTCCAGTGACGTGTTGGCTCGACTACGAGGTAACGCCATGGATGCCACAGTAGCCGCCCTGTTCTGTACTGGACTCCTCAATGCTCACAGCGCGGGGATTGGAGGAGGCTCTTTCTACACAATATACCACAAGTAGGTCCAGGACATTGTTACCTTTGCCTTCATTCGTTATTGTCGTATGTCAAAATACAAGCTTTTAAAGAACAATTTAATAAACCCCCACCAAACTATTGCTGTTAGTACAGAACATTATGGGTATAGAATCTACAAAACGTTTAATTGTTCATCTAAACCCGTGGCTTTTTAAGAAAAGGGAATGAGTCTAGGGCAGATCGGTCCGCTTCATTACTCTCTACAAGATTCTCGATTTTCACTTTTGTCCGAAATTTTGACATACTACAATATTGAATGACTGGGACCATAGCCCCCCCCCCCCCATTATCTGCAAAGTTAAAGAAATAATTCCCAACCATAAAAATACACCTGGTACACCTGTGAATAGTAACCCAAAACACACCCTTACGCTTTCCTTGATTTCAAACGCATTGACCAAGTTTTTTTCTTCTTTGGAGCATATCGTAGAAGTCAGGTTCTTAAGGGAGGGAAGTAGTACTAGAGCAATATGCTGTTTATTTTTTTATTAAAATTTTAGCAAAAAAAGGGGGGTGGGTGGGAGGAACAAACAAGCTGTATCTTGCATACTGCTGTAAGGTTTTCAATCAAGACGCAAAAGACCATGCATTCGCTGCCTCTCCCCCTCCCCCAAACCACACGCACGTACCCCCCTCTCCATCCGTCATTCCCAACCCCGGTTAAAATGTAAGGTTTTTAACCAACTGCCAGAACATAGTGGCATCCTGGTGACATAAGCCGCTCGTCAAAAGTCAAACCGACTTTTTTTCTGCCCGTTGGGAAATTACTATTAGTTAAAGCAAGTAAACAGTTGTTTCTGTTATATTCAAGACTTGTTTTGAGGATTGTTTGGTTATCTATTCGTTTGTTTGTTTGTTTGTTTTTCCTATATAAAGAGACTATAATGGATGACATATGAGAAGCAGCGTGGTGGAATCAGGCTCTCGTAAATTTTTGGGCATGGAGAGTTATTGGTATCATCTTAAAGCTTGTTCACATGTCTTTATTTGTATGGGAAAAATATCCATTTATCTTGAATACAAGTCGAGATATTTGCGAATGAAGGAGGAGGGGGTCATCTGTTTTCAGAGGTAAAATTAGTGAGAAAATGGCTGCCAAAGATTAGTTATTTCCTCAGCTTAAGAGTCTGTGGCAACTGAAAATGTACATTTTTTGTACCTTTAATCAACGTTTTTCAGAAAATTCCACACAGAAATGAGTTCTGTAATTGGCATGAACGGTGTTGAACCATAAATAAAAAATTTGATAAAAATTCACAAACCTGCAGAAAAATGCAACTTTCTTCATTTTGATTATTTTGACGAGAGCCTGATTCCACCGCGCTGCCTCACAGATTGCTTTTTCTACAGGTCCAGTAATACTTTCCACAACGTGGACAGCCGTGAGACAGCCCCAGGTGCCGCTACACAGGACATGTTCCAAAGTGAGGAGAATCAGTCCAAGTCGCGCCTAGGTTAGTAGCATTGACTCGTTCTTCTATCTACCCATTTATAGATATGTCTGTCTGTCTGTCTGTTTGTCTGTCAGACTGTCTATCTGTATGTCTGTCTGTCTGTCTGTCTGTTGACCGATCGAAACAGCAGCCAACCAAAGGCGATTTAATAGCGGAAAATTTATTTAAACCATCATGCATAAATAATAAGAACCACAAATTAATTTGCCTATGTCACAGTAGTAATAATGATGCTGGCGTTTTTAAGTTTCAGATAAAGAACACAGAGTTAGAAACTGTTTAAGTTTGGTTAATCAATATACAGAAGTTAACCCCCCCCACCCCAAAGAAAAAAGTAAAGAAGTAAAAAAAAATTGTAATAGTAACACTAATATTAAGACTAATAATACAAATAATGCTAGTAATAATACCAATGGTACTACTACTACTACTACTACTACTACTACTACTACTACTACTACTACTACTACTGCTGCTGCTGCTGCTGCTGCTGCTGCTGCTGCTGCTGCTGCTGCTGCTGCTGCTGCTGCTGCTGCTACTACCACTACTACTACTACTACTACTACTACTAACAACAACAACAATAATAATAATACTACTACAAATAATAATAGTAATAAAAGCTCCATATTATTACACTTACATCAATAAGAACCATAACTCTTCTCCTTCACCCAGGTGGAATGGCTGTCGGTGTTCCAGGCGAGGTGCTCGGCCTTTATGAAGTTCACCAACGATTTGGCACCGTTCCCTGGAAGAGTCTGGTCATGCCATCAATCAAACTTTGTGAGGAAGGCGTTCCGCTGACCGAAGCAACGCACAAAGCGCTCGCTAGAATTACGGACAAGACTAAGTTTGCGTAATAATTTCAGTCGTAGAACCTGTGTTTGTTATCTGTTCTATTTTTTAAAAAATGATATTGTAGTTGTTGTTGGTGGTGGTGCTGCTGCTGGTGCAGGTTTTTGTGTATGTGGGCTTTTGGGGCATTTTCATAATTTAGTGCTTATTTTGTTTGTTTTTTGTTGAGGTTGTTTTTGAAAATTAGTTTATTTGTTCATTTATTACATTTTTAGAACAGACTGTCCTTATTTCTCCTCCTTCTTTTTGGATGTTACTCCTTATTGTATTGGTAATCTTCGGTACAAATATAAGTATAATATAAGTCTTATGTGACCTTTTTGTGTTGTAAGTTTGGTAAATTTCAAAATTAAAACCACAACAAAAAACCTTCTCCGAGTTGGTTAATGGGGGTTATGGTGTTGTATACGTTTTCTTTTTCTTCTGTGCAGTGTTTTTGCTATCGTTTTATATCCTTCCGGCGTCTGCGGTGTTACTGTTAGGCGCTTTGCTGTCACACACAGGAGACCCGAGTTCGAATCCCGAATGAAGAGACAAGTTTTATCTAATATATCGATTTTCCTGCTGGGATGCATTCCTCTAAACCTGACTTGGCCAAGGCAGGGTTGGAAGCCCACCCCCTAAATGAACTACTTCGATTGGGGTGTAAAAACACCTACATTAAAATATACATAATGTTTTAAAATTATATATATATATATATATATATATATATATATATATATATATATATATATATATATATATATATATATATATATATATATATATTATTACATATATATTATCATTTTTAGCATCAGGGAGACTTACCACTAACTCTCGAGTTTAAAATGTTTATACCAGGCCTTACTTCAACTCTGACCAGAGTCCAAAAGCGGCTGGTAGTTTGATCAAATTGCCAGAACTCGCCCGGACATTCCGTACCATCGCTGATGACCCTTTCTCCTTCTATAACGGATCTCTGGCGGCTGATATAGTCAGTGACATAACTGATGAAGGTAATCCGTAGTCGTATTAGCTTATTACATGAGGTTTAATTGATATATTGTAAGAGTGTTTAAAACACCCTGTCGGATACATACCACGGCCTAGATCACTTCGTTCTAAAGACAATCCCTACCCCTCCCCCCTCATACACACACACACACACACACACACACACACATACACACACACACACACACACGCACACACACACACACAAACACACATACAGTTGAGTTTTGGATCGTCTTTTTTATTTTTTTGATTCCTTATTTTTGTTTTGTTTTTATATTGGGAGGGGGTATTGGGGGCTGCTCTTTATAAGACCGAAACCTCAGCTGACAGTTTGCGAATAAAGTGTTCAAAACAAAAACCTTGCAAGTTCGAAGAAAAGATGCCATTCATACACAACACAAGTAAGACGTATGGTCAGCACAAAAACTACGTGCTAGTTGCTCAACCACGCCAATAGGACATCGAACTAGTTACAATAATATTCTTCATCCCATGTAGGACCTTGAACATACTATTAGTTTTAATGGTACATTACACCGTCTTAACTTTAACGACGCAGCGTGGGTGGTTAGTAAGTGCCTTGGTGTGGACTGCACCTTCTTTCTTATCAAACGTCTACCGACCTTATCTCATCTCCTTCTTTTTTGTGTTTGTTACTATCTTTTAACACACCTAATCTTAGGTAGTTTTATCACCCTATTGCAAGTGGAACAAAACTCTTACTATGCTTAACTAAACGACGCAGCTTTAGCATTCAGCAGACTTCAGGCTATGTTGTGGCGCATTTAGAACTACCATACATAAAAGAAACACTATTTCACATGTTTGATAGTATGCATCTTATTGTCTATATTTTTAGGTAGCATAAAAAGTATCCACATTTTAAAAATAAAAAAAATCAGCTTGATTACCGAAGTATCCGAAAACAGCAGGTCTTCTAGCATTGTTGAATAACCAGAACGTTCGTCTTAATGAGTTAAGAGTTTAATTTTCTGTGACTGATGGTTTGATTGATTGTCACAATACCAGGTACTGATTTAATTACTTTCAAAGTAGGAATAGGGACTGAAATGATGTCGCGGTTTGTATTTGAAAGAAATGTTAAATTACTTTGTTATTTTCATTATAATCCCCCCCCCCTCCCCCGACCCCCATTGGCGAAAAAATACAACTTTTGATGACTGTATTTCGTGCACATTCAGGGGGCATAATCACAGAAGAAGACCTGGCCAACTACAGCCTAACGCCATCGGCCCCTACCAACATGAGTCTACCTGGGGGGTATCAAGTCTACTCAACTCCCCCGCCAGGTAGTGGACTGGTCCTCGGCTATATTCTTGGAATTTTATCCGGTGAGTTCTTAGTTTTATTACTTTTGATACGAAAGCAAGTTGACAGTTTTGATGTTATCGAAAAAAACAACAACCACCCAACGGAACTGTCCACCACTAGCAGTCAGCCTTAAAGGGTCTAGTTTTTTTTCTCCTTTCAGCATCAAAGAGTCAGAATTGATCCGTTTGTCTGTTCATTCGTTAATTGATTTGTTGGTTTTATGGGTCTTTTCAAATGGTCTCTTTGTCTGTATCAATATATGGAAACTCATTTTTTCCAGCTTTAACGATTAATTATTCTAACTACCTTCCCCTTCTTTTATTTGAGATGTTCTTTTTTTCTAAACTCTCAGGATATAACATGGATTCCAGCAATATTGCCACGACTGAGGGGGAAATACTTACATATCATCGTATTGTGGAGGCCTTCAAGTTTGCATTCGGCAAGAGATCGGGACTTGGGGATGACCTTTTTCATGACAATTCAGAAGTAAGCACGATATTTCAGTTGAAACAGATATCCGATTGATTGATTGTTTTATTGATTGATTGATTGATTGATTGATCTATCGGCCGGCCGGTCGGTTGATCGGTCAGTCGGTTGTTTGACCTATTGTTGGTTTGTTCATTTGCCTAAATCGTTGGGTATAAACGTATACCATTTTACTCATACTTATGTTCTTCATGTCTGGGTCTCAGAACGCTGTTAACATGACATCACTGGCAGTCTGTGAGGAGATCAGGCAGCGTATCAGTGACGAGAAGACGCATGACACCGCCTTCTATGACCCACCCTTCTCCGTGGCCAATGACAGCGGTACTACCCACATCTCCGTCATAGACGGTGAAGGGAACGCAGTGTCCGTCACAAGTACAATTAACACGTAGTGAGTGGTCACATCTCTGTTTGTCTTTAGTATTTTAGTAGAGTTTTTACAGCGTTCGCAACTGCACAAGGTCGTATGAGCGCTCTGTTTGTCTGCTTTTGTGTCACTTTAGTTTGGTAGTTTATATAATAATATCAGCTGATTATCACTTGAGCCAGCTCTAACGTTGAGTCACCTGTCGAAGACATTCACTTGTACAATCGTCCACTTCCAACTTCATTGTTTGCATGTAAGTGATTTGGTAACACTGTCTAAGACGATCAGGTGTTCAAGACAACCACAGTTTTCTTCGTCAATGGGTGGCCGTGTTGGGCAATATCAGTTTTATTTGATCATGCGGGTGGCTGGAGGTCCTACTTTGTTTTTCGTTCCCTCTGTCGATTTTGTCTGTCTGTGTTGCGTTATTCCACTACTAACTGGCCATTATTGTGTAGATGTGCTTCTTTTGCTAAAGCAAACAAACAACTAAACCAACCAAACAAATAAGTAAAGTACTTGGTTATCTGTCTTTCGAGCACGTCCGGGGGAATTCTCCCAAAACCAAAGGCCTTTTATCCTTCATGGCTTACTTCAATCCCGCACTTAAGGTAAGATCTCCAGTTTTCTAGAAAAACCACAGGTCAGTTGTCCGTATCAGTGTGGCGGTGAAAGCATCTTGGGACAGTAAATGGTGTTATATGTGAGGCATCTGAGGTGAAACCAGGCACTCGTCATATTATGAAATCGAAGAAAAAAAGCACTTTCCCGCCAGTTCGGCAATGAGCAAAAATCGAATATTTAATGGGTTTCTTTTCAGCTCTCTATTTTTTATATCCATATATAGACACATCCTCATATAAATTTTACTTTGAAAACAACGTTGATTAAAAGCACAAAACATACATTTTAAGTTTTCAAGGACTCTCAAGCTATTGAAGTCTCCAAACTTTGGCAGCAATTTTCTCGCTAATTTTTCCTCTACCCCCCCCCCCAACCTACCTCCCTACAATCGCAAACATCTCGATTTTTATTTAAGGTAGATGGGTCCCCTTTTTTAACACAAAATTAAAGCAAACGAATAAGCTTTTTGGTGATACCGTGCCCAAAAATTGACAAGCACATAATTTCAGCGCCTCGTGAGACATATTTTATTGTCCTGTTTATACTCACTCGTGGGTGGTACGAAGATGCTACAAGTAGGTCCGGCAGTTTTTACCATAATTGTTGTTACTGTCTTCTACCTTTTTTGACTACTTGTTCTAAGCACTAAATAGCTGTTATTTTATCTGTATTCGTCTCTTTATTTGAAATCCAAGCCAAGTTGCTGAAGTCTGCCTTTTTTTCCAAACGCTAAATTGGCGTTATTGTGCCAATGTTCTTCTCTTTATTCAGAATATAATTGTCAAAATTCTGCTTTCTGTTCGCCTGTCTATCTTCCTTGCTTATTTCCAAGCACTAATTGGCCGTTATTGTACCATCACTCAAAATACAAGCACAGTTTCGAAAGACTGCCCTTTGTCTAACTTGCTTTTCTGCAGGCACATGCAGCCGTTATTGTATCGATATGCTTCTCTTCTATCAAAATACAAACCCATCTTCGAAAGTCTGCCTTTTATCTGACTTGCTTTTTTTGCCCGGGAATAAATAAACCATTATTATATCAATATGCTTCTCTTCTCTCAAAATACAAACCCAGTTTCGGAAGCAAGGTCCGCGGCTCGAGGACTGGTATCGTGTTCAACAACGAGATGGACGATTTCTCCACCCCAGGAACTGTCAACTACTTTGGTCTTCCCGCCTCTCCTGCCAACTTCATCCAGCCAGGCAAACGTCCCATGTCCTCCATGTGTCCGGCCATAGTGTGGGACAACAACGAGCAGAGGGTCAAGATGGTCTCTGGGGGTGCCGGAGGGAGCAAGATCACGACTGCTACTGCTTTGGTGAGTGAGTCCGGGATAGAGGTTGTAATTGTTCCTGTACAGCTGTACAAGAAGGGGGGGGGGGGCGTAGGGGAGGGTGTTCTTTTATGTTGGGTTGCTGTTGTCGTTTCTGTTGTCGTTGTTATTGTTCCTGTTGTTATTGTTTCTGCTGACGCTATTCTTGTGTTGACTGCTGCTGCTATTGTTGTTTCTACTGTTTTTATTGGTTGTTGTTTTTGTTGTTGTTGTTGCTCTTACAGTTGTTGTAACTCATCAGCTTCTATAATAGTAACACCATATTGATAACACCAGGGCTGTTTTCGGTATTGTGAGTGTTGTTTGATTGTACAAATAGACTCTATGAAAGGCACGTGTCATCACTGGTATGATTTCTTTTAGGAGAGGGGGGGAGTGGGGATCCTTGTGTTATTCATTTGTGGCTCTCATTTTTGTCTGTTGTTTTTTTTTTAGAACTTCTTGCTGCTCTTGAGTGTTTTTCTTTTTACTTAAAAATTGTTCCATGGGCATAAAAAGCTGATCACAGTACAACTATAAACATTGTACTTTTTTCCATTCGATAAACTGAAAAGGTCAGACCACACCACCCTAACCCACATAATTTGAATAAATAAATAAATGAATAGATGAATAAATGAACAAATGAATAAACAAATCAAAGTAGGATATCTCATCAGCTCTTCCTCCACCGCAAAATAGCAACAATCGAAATATTTTGATTTCTAATTCGCCACATATTTATCTCCAGAATATCATTGACGTCCTGTGGCTGGGTATATCCCTGCCCGAGTCCATAGACAAGCCAAGACTTCACCACCAGCTCGTTCCCAATGCAATAATGCTGGAGAAGACTTTCAGCAAGGTAATAGTTACAATTAATTCTAAACTTTAAAAAAAATGTACGAGCGTGTACGCCCCCATGGACACAATTTAGATCAGTTAGCGGGCGGTCTTCCCACCCTGCTGGACAGGGATGAACCGGGTTGAGAGGGATCGAGATATTTGATAAACATTTCCCTCGACTCGGGAATCGAATCTGGGTCTCTAGCGCGTGAGAGCGAAGCTCCTAACTGCTACAACACCAAGGTCGGCAGGTTTTGTGAGTCCTATATTATTTTCTTTTTACCTGGTCCAGATGTAGAAGAGAGAAATACTAATTGTTTCTTCAAAGTTTTCTTAGATACAGAGTACACATAGAAGAAAGTGCAGATTAAAATCACAAACAGGTCAAGTAGTTTGGCTTAACCTTTCAGTGTTCAGGTGAAAAAGGTCAAAGTCAATCACCTTAACAAAAATAACCAGACCGATCTTCGTACCTTTTGGAAGAGTGTTTGATCATTCGTGACCATAACCATAGACTTTCGGGAACTTGTATATTATCATTATTATTCAACTGTCACTTTGATTCAGAAAGTCTCAGGTCAAAGTAGCCTTGTTCTATTATTAACACTCTAGATAGATTACTTCTTGCGTTTCCTGTAAACAGGTGCAGTGTGCAATTTTCACTCTTATAAGATTTCTTAAAGTCTAGGTTTTACTCGATTTATCCCCCTCCCTTCCCCAAAAACAAAAATTGGGCCTAAAATACTGGATCAAAACAGCCTACCTTCTAAACTATCTAAATTGTCTTCCTTTGGCTCTACCCCCCCTCCCTTGTAGATAACAAATGACTTAAACAAAAGTTTGGAGTTATTTGACTTCTTCCTGACTTCATGATATATTTGTTCAAACCAGGTGGGTTCTTTTAGGTCCATTTTTTTTAAAGCACATTTTCACTCACACTTTTGCGAGTAGGAAGTTGGCCGGCGCTTTTGTGTGGTTTCTCACCCACCACCTCTACCCTCACTTCTCTATCCAACAAATTATCGTCGTTTTCTCTCTTCCTTTTATAATTTGTATTTTTCTCTCTACTAATATCTCTAATATGTGTATGACCTATTAATTACGTTACAAGTGCCACAAAACTATTAATCAAACTAAACTATAACACCTTTGCCTATTTCAGGTTATTTTAAATGGGTTGAAGGCCAAAGGCCACGCCATTCGAGACAAGTTTGGCTATTCTGTGCTGCAGGCGATCAATGTGCGAGACGACGGCTCGATTGTGGGAACAGCGGATTTCCGCAAGGGAGGAGTACCAAAAGGACTTTAGGATACTTAATTGTGATAATCCGGCTGTTTGACGTGATCGATTTTTGAAGAGCTGGAAGTGTGCACATGAAAACGTTCCCTGTTTGTGTAAGAATGATGCATGTTCGCATGAATTTATATATTATACAATGGAAGTTACGATAACTATATTATACATGCTGACACATTGAATATATCTACGGGCACGCTTAGTATTAGTGTCTACTGGAACGTTGAGTTTATGACAATACTAAATGATAATTGTTATTTCAGTTCACTGAGATCTTGATATCAAATTAATTACTCACGAGTGAAAA